TATCATAATTTATTCTAATTATTTTTTCATTTCTTATACACTATTAACTTGGTAAACATTTCAAATTAAATTTAATAATTCTTTATTAATTCAATTTTTTTACTTTGATCATATTTAGTTCACCCCATCTAAGTAAATTTGATAAATATCAAGTAAATATTTAATTTTCTTGTTTTATTATTTCTTTTGTTTATGATCCTTAGGAGTATAATAATGTTTACTTGTTGAGTTTCAATACAACAAAGAAAAATACCAAGCATTTGGAAAAACCAGTTTTCTTTGTAATATAAAAAATTTTAAAGTTAGATAAACACAATTCCGTATATAATAATTTTCTATAACTTGATAATTAACTAATCCACCTTTGGATAATCTACTTAAAAAAGTAAAATTTATAATTCTTAGAGTTATAATTATAAATTAACAATTTGCTTAAAACTATTCATATTGCTAGCATAGTTTTAATTATTGATTACTCTTACTTAAACTAAATCAATATCAAAAATAATTTTCGTATAATATAGCATAGCCAAATTGTTATATAGTTGTAAAATTAAAGTTGGGTTTCGATTGAGAGTGCTTTAATTTTAAAAAAGAAATGAATGACACCAAATTTTATCTTTATTAAAAAGTTGTTTTTCATAGATTATTCTTTCTACCAATTTATTTTATAACAATGTTTTTAATTCAGATTTTCTGTAATCTGACTTTTTATGTGTGGTGTGTAAATAAATATTCTTAATTGATACTTCCTTTACAGTAGAGTATGTTTCTATCAATTCATGTAAATCTTCAAATCATGAGCTTCGAGCTTAATTTTAATTTTATTTTGGTATTATTGTTTATCAGAAAATTATTTATAAAATGAATCTTGGAACACTTCTTTTCTAATTATGAAAATAATAAAGATTCAGTTTTTTAAGGATTTAGATTCTTAAAGTTTATTATCTTGTCTATCGTATCTTTCTGATCGAAACAAATAAAAAAATTTGCAATCTCTACACTTTCAAATCAATAAAAATATTACAATCTATTCCTTCATTTTAATAATTAAATCAAAAGAAGGAACCAGAGAATTAAAAATAAGATAAACCTTACTTGGGCTCAATTTAATAATTTAATTGTGACTTACAAGGTATTTTTATTTTGATTCTAGTATTTATTGCAAGTTTAACAAGTAAATCTACACTTTTCTGTAAATAAATCTCTTTAACAGAAAATTAAATTAATATATCATCAATATCTATTTAAAATTTTCGATATTTAAAATCAAATCAATGTTAAATAATCCCTATTTAAATTTATTTCATTATGCAAATAAGAGATTTTGTTTGAATATTTTATATATATATATATATAATTTTATTCACTATTTATTAATAATCATCATGGAAATATTGGATTATTCACAATTTGTGATTAACTTCTGCAGTTCTATATCAATTTTTATAATAAATCTTTGCAGATCCAAATTAGCTCTATAGTTATACCTTTGGATAGTATGATTGCTTGAACCCATCCCAATAAAATTTTTTTCTCTTCATTAAAATATTCATTAAACTCTTAGATGTATAAGAATGAACTAAGGATAAATGTTAATACTGATATCTCAACTACAATTTAAACAATGTAATTTTTTTTATTAAAAATACAACGATAATTAAATATGAATCCAATCTAAAATATGCTTGTCATAAGGAGTAATCCTAATTAAAGTATTTGGGAACTCTATACATAAATTAAAAATAATAGAAACAAAAATTATCTACAAAAACTCAGCATTTCAAACATTTAGTAGCTGTTCTTCTTTGATAATTTTGATTTACCTTTAAAGAAATTTAGGAAAATGGTAAAATAAAGGATAAGTATTATGATTGCGATAATAATTTGTACAATATCTATGTAATTTTTGGTTAAAATGTTTCTTGTATACAATAATGTTTTAAATATCATATCCCAGCCATTTAGAAATAAGGCTTTTTATAATCCTTAAAAAGACATAAATCTTTTCAATTTAAGTAGTTCCATGCAAATGTTATAAAAGGATTAACTAAACTTAAAGATTATTTTTGGATTTATATATAATGATAAAGATGACATACAGCAAAAGTACCTAGAACAGAATATCCATTTATACAAAACCTTTTTAATCCATTGAAAACACAGAATAAAGAATACAAACATTAGGAATTAAAATATTTGGCATGAAAGATTGATGATCAAGTTAGTGTTTTATTTGTACACATTGAATTTTCCTTCAGAATATTCTTAATTTAACTAGATATTAGTAAGCTATAAAAGTTGAGGAAAATAGATAAATTTTAGTAGAGGTTGAATAGTTATCATATCATTAAAAGAAAAATAAATCTCTATATTTTCTGGATATTAAAGATTAATGTATCTTAAGTATTGCTAGAGCATCATATATATTAGCAACAGTCTATTTTATTTTAATTTTCAAGATTGGCCTAAATTCAAGTAATTATTATATTTCTATATAGACAACAAATTCTCCAAAATTTACTTCTGATCCAACATCCTATATAATAAATAAGCTGCTAATCCAGTTCTTCTTATTTATATTTGATATTTCAAATATTATAGTTTCTGATAAGGGTTAAGTTGTTTATATTTTTACTTGTTAATCAAATTAGATGTTTATATACTACTTATTTTATGTCATATTGATATAATTAATTATTAAGTTTGGAGCTTTAACAAATGAGCATAAGCTAGGAGAATCTCTTGTAATTGTACTGCAGATCCAATTTTATTCAATTAAACAATCCTTGCAACCATCCGCTGCTTAATAATTTCCATCATCACAATCCTCTTATTCCTAAAGCAATCCATCTCCACAAT